CCACAGACACTAATTTGGACTCTACTTGAGCAAAAAACAACCCATCACCTTTTGTTATGACAGTTTAATCTACTTGAACTAATAAATTATCACTCTGGGATTTCTTTTTATCATACTCCTGGATTAATTCTGCTCTTTTCTGAATACCCTGTCTTCCTTTTGCTTCCTTGATGTGTTTATTGGAGTATCAGTCAAGTAATTTTTTCAAGAAAGGGCACTGAGGAAATAAACTTTCTGAATCTTTCATGTGAAAAAAAGTGTCCCTGTTTTGCCCTCTCTTGATTGGTTATAGATTTTTATGAATATGGGATTTTAGATTCAAGACTATTTTCCCTCTAACTTCTGAAGGCGTTGCTTCATTGTCTTCTAGTATCTGGTATTGCTAATAAGACATTTATGATAGAAAAAGTGGCATAGGACACAAACAAAAAATGTACAAAAGACCAGTATCAATGGCCAATACACATATGAGAAAATTATATCACTAGTAAATGGGAATCAGACATCAATGAGAACACATTTTTTTCTCTATCAGACTGAAATGGTAATATAAGTATAAAGATGGTAATACTCAGCATTGATGCAGACTGGAGAAATGAGGATTTTTGTACACTGCTGATGGGTGTGAAAATTGGAATGAATTTTCCGGAGGACACATTTTTAACATTCAGAAATAAAATTTGTTACTTTTACCTCTGTAGGTGAGGTTATTTTAGTTCTTCTAGCTGGAAACTTTTTAGTTCTTTTTGTCCTTGGTGTAGCAAAGTTTCATGAAGATGCGTTTAGGCGCAAATCTATTTTCATTCATCAGCTCAGCACTTACTGGGTCATTTCCACCTTCTATTTTGTTGCAGTCTCAGGGAAATAGTTCTATTATTTTTTTGATTTTTTTTCCTGCCTTCAGTTTTCTCCATTCTTTCTTTCTCAACTTTTTGTTAAGTGGATATTGGTCCTCCTGTATGGATCTGCTATATTTTCTAAATTTTCTCTCATGTTTTCTATCTTATAGTCCTTCACTTTATATTCTGAGAGAGATTTTTAAAAATTTTCTTCTTTGTTTTCTATTGGTTTATTTTCACCAAACATTTAAATATTAAATATTTTAAATTTTCATGAACTCTGGTTCCTTTTCATGTCAACCTATTCTTGTTTTGTGGATGTGATATCTTCATATAATCAGATTGACCAACAAGAATAACAATTAGAATATTTAAAAAGTTCTTTTTTCCATTATTGTCTGATTTTGTGAGTGCGTGTGTGTGTGAGGAAGATTAGCCCTAAGCTAACATCTGTTGCCAATCTTCCTCTATTTGCTAAGGAAGATTGGCCCTGGGCTAACGTCTGTGCCCATCTTCCTCTACTTTATATGGGATGCCATCACAGCATGGCTTGATAAGCAGTGTGTCAGTCCATGCCCGGGATCCGAACCTGCAAACCCTGGGCTGCTGAAGCAGAGCGTGCGAACTTAACCGCTAGGTCACTGGGCTGGCCCCATTGTCTGATTCTTTGGTGAAAATTTTTTTTTGCATCTTGGCCACTCATTTTGGTGTTGCTGGTTTTCCTCAAATATCTAGTAATCCTTGATCTTCCATCCTATTAACAGTCGAGGTCCATGTCAATTAATTTGAATAATTGGGATATTTCTTCTCTACTTGTCTATTGTAAATAATAAATGCACAGTCAAAATAAAACCCAATGTAATTTTCAAAAGCGTTAGGTGTTAATCTTATTAGAAATGGACACACTTTAATAAAATACTTTAATTTTTCTATATAATGTGTCTGTAATATTGGCTATCTATGGGACTTGTAGACTTCTCTATATAGGAAGTCTTTAACATTTGGTTGAACCCGCTTAGAGTTGTCTCATTAATAAAATATATTACAAATACATACTTTGAAGTTTTATCTAAGAATTCTTTGAGTTAAAAACTCTTCATAGATGTTTAATTGAAAATGTTTTAGGGGCCGGCCCGGTGGCACACCAGCGGTTAAGTGCGCTCCACTTTGGCGTCCCACAGTTCGCAGGTTCACATCCCGGGCGTGCACAAACACACTGCTTGTTAAGCCATGCTGTGGCGGCGTCCCATATAAAGTGGAGGAAGATGGGCACGGATGTTAGCCCAGGGCCAGTCTTCCTCAGTAAAAAAGAAGAGGATTGGCATGCATGTTAGCTCAAGGCTGGTCTTCCTCACACACAAAAAAAATGTTTTAGGGAAACAATTATATTTTAAAATATCAACACACTATTTTATACATAAAGGAAAACCCATTTTGTCATAGATGTCTATAATTTGTGACCATGATTTATTGATGCTTTATGTGTGCAGAGACATTTTTAAAAGACTGGTACGAAGTATATGAAATTGGTATGGACACTATTAAAATAGTTTCATAACAACTACAAGTATTTATAAAATAGACACATTATGGGGAAATCATGTATCGTTGGCAAAAGAGATTATTTTTCCCTTTTAAACAACTTATAGACTGATTGGCTGCATCAGCCTGGTGAAAAATTTTCATTCAAAAAATGCCAAGATCTTTTTCCATGATCTCACATTGCTACCCATTCATTTTTCACACACAGAGCCTTATTCATGCTGGGGAATCATGGTCAAGCTGTAGGCTGGATTGATCTCATCACAGTGAAGCCATTTCAGTTCTTTCAGTTTTCCTTACACATTTGCTCCATGCATGCTTCAAATCTGGAAAAAAACATACTTAGGGGCTGGAGAAACAAAGCAGCAGCAATTTCCTTGCCTTATTCCTTGGCTGATGATGAAGCAGAGAGCATGTTGTGGTGATTGGAGCCAGACCTAACCCTGGCCATGGGCGTTGCAGCCCACTCAAACCTAATTAAGAAAGATCTTGAATAAACTTGGGTGAGAGCCAAAATCACTAGCCCCTTCAATCAATATTTTTGATATAAAAATCAGCATCTGGGCTGAATAAAAGGGAGCACTGTTTCATGCCACAGCAAAAAATTCCCACTTGCTTCTACTCTGACCTCCTGATTTTATTGATTTGTATCTGTGATAACTTTTCAGAGCAGTTGACTTGCAACCATCAGATTTAAGCCCCTCATTTAGACCAAGGGATGCAACGAGAATGAGAGTGACTAGTTCTACCTTAAACCCTAACTGTCACAGGCATCAACCTTTCCCAAACAGGTAAGCTGGTCTCACTTGTTCTCTCATCCCCACTTGAATTACATCTGCTAATATATAAAGTTGAGCTGAAATAACTTTTTAAGGAATTTGATTCAATAAGGAAGAGGGCATTCTCAGAAAAAAGCAATGATCTGTCAGAATCTTAGAAGTCCTCTTTATGTACTGCTAATCCCCTGATAACTTCAACACTGTTGCCTTCCAAGACAAGTCCATTATTAAGCTCTACAAGAGTCCCCAGAGGATAGTGTATGTCAGAGTTCTTAGTATAGTGTCTGACACCAAATAAGTCCAAAAAATGATTGATTTATTATCTTTCAAGACACTTTAGAAATAATTCCTAGTCTTGATTCAGGAAATTTGCAAGCAGGGTGAGACAGAGAAAGAAAAGTTAACATTTGATTCATTTTGATGCCTTTGTTATCCTGAAGACTTATCTTTTTTTTGCTGAGTTAGATTAGCCCTGAGCTAACATCTGCCAATCCTCCTCATTTTGCTGAGGAAGATTTGCCCTGAGCTAATACCCATTGCCAATCTTCCTCTACTTTGTATGTGAGCCGCTGGCAGGGCATGGTCACTGACAGATGAGTGGTGTAGGTCCGCGCCTGGGAACTGAATTCAGGTCACTGAAGCTGAGCACCCCAAACTTAACCACCAGGCCATCAGGGCTGGCCCCTGAAGACTTATCTTTTAATAGGTTGAAACAAATTAAGGAACAAATTAAGACATCTCTACCCTTTAGAGAGACTCAGTGAAATATTTACTGATGAAATCATATGATTTCTGGGGCTTACTTCAAAGTAATCTGGTGGGAGGAGGAATGAAATGTGTGTGTGGGGGAATAGATGAAAAAGACTGGCCTTGAATTAATAATGTTTGAAACTAGGTGATAGGTGCTTGTGGGTTCATTATACTATGCTCTTTTACTGCATGCTTAAAATTTTTCATTCTGAAACTTTTTTTAAATGGATGGATTAGAAGTAAATTTTTAAGTAGATGGACTGCTGTCAGCTCAAACCTGAGTCCCTCCTTAAGAGTTGCTTTCAGCTGAATAGAATCGTCTTGCCCAAGGTAACACCCTCTCCCACACCTCTACCCTGGTAGCTTGAACCCCATGACTACTTGATGCAGGGAGGACATAAAGGCCTGGCTCCCTTGTCTCACTTTGAGATAACTCTAAAGGACCATCTCAGATGCATAGCTCCCCAGGAGATTGACTGTGGCCTTTGTTATGATGACATCACCGTTCAACTTCTCCCTTTTCCTATCTTATTCTCTCACTCCAACCTAGATATTGCACCAATATATGTGGTCTCAGTGATGTGCTGGTAAATGCGTAACAGCTGGCTCTCTAGATCTCTAATTTGTAGTGTTTTCCAATTTCCATGGTATAAATACTCCCAATGTGGCCAGTTTCAAGCTACCAATGTGATGTCACTGATGTGGAGTTGGAAGAGATTAGCACAGTTGGTTCTTGTGACACCATGCAAGCCAGTGCCAGCCACCCTTGCCAACTTTCCTCAATGAAATTTTTAAATGCAAATCTCTTCCTCAATCTTTTCTTAAGGGTAATCCAAACTAAATCAACACAAAATCATCAATTATCTTTTTATTGTCAATTTTGGTAATTTGTTTATTAAAGAAACTAACATTTCACAGGCAGAATGAAATGAAATTGGTCATCTCAAATGTTTCAGTGAAACACACACACACATACACACCACACACCACAAAACCATAAGACAATGTTCCACAATAATTGCCTAGAAACACTTAACATACAGACTCCTTTTAATTTTCTAAACAGTACACAGTTATATAGGGCATTCCAAGAAAACAGACTTCAAATATGTTGTTCTTACTGAGACGAGGAAAAATTGCCAAGAACTCATCAGATAAGTTCAAAATGCAATTGTAATTATTGTCGTAAATCAAAGTACATATTTAAGAGAGTTAAAGTTTCCTCATCAGAACTTTTAAGTCAGAGTAAGCCATTTACAATATTTGCTATCTCTGAAGAAAAATACAGATGTGCATTGCATGTTTGAAGAACTGTTAAGACTTTCACCCTATTTGAGAGCTGTTGTTGGAATAAATACTCAGAGGTTGAAGATTTTTTTTAAGGGGTAGGAAGAAAAAGAAGAAACAAGACACCACATTCAAGAAGTGATGAAAAGGAAAAGAAACATCTTGTAGGAAATGATACAGAGGAGAACTAGAGAAGGAATAATTTTGTCCAAATGAACAGCAGATTATTCACCAATATTGGATCCATTTCTGTAGAAAGAGAAGGTACCTGGAAAATGGGAACACAATGTCCTATTGAGGAGAAAAGGCTGGAATAATTCACTTCACTTCAGCAGTATACACACCCCTAAGTATCAACAGAGAATCAGAACAAAGTTCCTGTTATGTTATTAGAACCAACTGATTATCAAAACAAAAGCTCCAATAATGGTTCTCAAATAATGAGATGGATGAGAATCCCCTAGGAAGACTGGCTAAAATGTAGATTTCTGGGCACTACAGCTCTTCTGATTGAGTGGAGGTCTGGTGTGGGGCTCAGCGATCTGTATTTTAACAACCTTCCCAGTAAATTCTGAAGCCCATGGTCTCTGTTAAACCAAAACATGCTGAAAGGTAATATAGCCAAACATCTGTGACACCAGAGTTCCATGATAAGATTAGGATTGTGTCTACACCATTTCTCTATTATGCAAATGCTTACAAATCCTTACAAATATGACTGGATCTTTTATCTTCTGCTTCCCTGAAGGTCATTTTTAGAACAAGACCTTCCATCCATCTATCAACCAATCAGATTCTCATCTGTATACGTTTATACTCTTGCATGCCCCGTAAAGGAAGAGAAAAGTGTGTGTGTGTATGTGTGTGCAAATGGGAGGGTTGGGGGTGCATAACGTTATAGTTCTGTTAGAAAAATTTCTTTCCCAACAGAACCAAGCAAAGAGACATTTTTGGCTCTGGTATAGTGATTGAGACTCAGTAATCCCTATTGAATTGAAATCATGGTCTTACTAACTTAGCAGTAGAAGACTTTTTCTTATAAAAATTAAAAATTGTCAGTATTCACAATTATCCTTTTAACCAACCTCATTCTGTATGACATATACTCTTATTTTACCAGCCCAAGGGACCTAGGTCCCTCCTAATGTGCTCAGGAAACATTCCACTTGGATTACAGTTGTTCTCATATGTGTGTGTTCAACATAGACTCTGACAGAGATAGGTCTTTTATCTTGTACTCGAGAATGTAATAAGTTGCCCCAGGACTCTTGGATCTTAATGAAAAGGGATTAACCTCCTCCCTGCCTCCCATGCCAAGTAGGTAAGTAATTAATTTCCTATCACAAGTTAGACTCAAGCTCTTTTATAAAAGTAATAATGGTAGACATTCCTGCTCATGAAGACATCCCTCTAGAGGTTTAAAACTCAAACAATGGATGTGAAGGTATGTGTGAAGATCACAGACATTCAGAATGGAAGGGGATGTTTATTGCTTGCTCAGATGTTCCCCTGTCTTCTTTTTCTCCTGTTTCTTTTATAGGACTGAAGGCCTTCATGCATTTTGGACAATTAACTAGGATCAATTTCATTTAAATGCATATTTCCAAGAGAAAAGACCTATGTGTCTTCCTTTTCTCTGCACATTTATACAACATATATTCTTTTGCACAAGTAATGCTGCACCTCTTCGCATCATTGAGGAGAGTTGGAATTTAGTTATCAAAATCAGTCATTGGATGCGGCAGCTGCATTTTCAGAACCCACTTCCTCGCCTCTTCCGCTAGTAGTATTCCTTACAAAAGCTCATGAAGAACTTTATCATTGTGATCCAGTTTAAAATGATATACCCACTAGGGCTTATAATTTTCCTGAAGAAAGCTGTCCACACTGATCACTTTTATCCTTTAATAAGCTCTGAGCAGCAGGACATATTACTCCATCCAACACTGGTGCTTCGGGTTGAGTTTCTCTCTCGGTGCACAGCATGAAAGCTTGGGTCCATCTGTGTCACACCAAGTCAACCTTCTCTTGAAGTGATTTGTTTCTAGTTTCATTTGGTGGAGTGGAATGTTCTGTAACTCATTCAAACTATTACAAAAGCTTTGCTAAAAGGTCACCACTGCTCTTTGGAGTTTCCAAATCTGGGCATCATCTGGGAACTTGTTAAAGATAAGGTTTTCCACCAGCTTTTTCCATACCAACTAGATCCAATTAGCAAAACAGTACTATTCAGAGAAGTCTGTGTTCACATTTAGAGAGACAGAGAGACAGAGACAGAGAGAGACAGAGAGACAGAGAACACAAGTAAATTACAGTTAGTTGTCTAATAGTGTGCAAGCCCACTTTGCACCAAATTGGAGTGCATTGCCAGATGACAGTACCGTTTAATAGCCATGAATGGAGGTGTCAGTCTTGAAAAAGTTGAATAGAATTTGCTTTTAAATGTTGTTTTTGAATCAGTACATTCTTCAAGTTTAGTCTTGGGAGTCAACTCTAAATGAAATTGAATCTTACCATTTACTCAAAATTCAATAAGAAGATGACAATTCATTCCATGAAGTAATAAAGGCTATGCATGTTAAACATTCACTCTTTATGGCACCAACAACATTCAAATTGTTATAACTTTACAATTTTAGTCGAGGCCTAAAATTGGCTTGTGCTTGCTTTCTGCCCTCTTGCTTATGAAACAAACGTCTTGAATTTTCCAATCCTCAAAAGCTCAGCTGTAAAACTGTAAGAGACCAGCAAGAGAAAAAGGAAAGTTTCCTTCAAAGACGTCTCTAGTCACTGCTGGCCAGTTCTGCTGTCTCCCTCAAAACATTAACTATGGCTTTTGACACTGGTCCTTGGAAAAAGTCCAAATGTGGCAAATGGTGGAAGCAACATTTCTTTACCCTCCTGCCTGGAACTTCGCATGATGCGGATGAGTTCTAGCTAGTGCTTTCATGGGTGGAACAAGGAGGTCAGCTACTGCCCACCACTCTTGCCATGTCTGCAGATGAAATCTGTAAACACATCGTGAGATCTACTGAATAAGCAATCAAAACCCTTTCATTTGGTTGGAACTCCTGAAAGGGCCTGGACCAAAGAGGCTGCACAGTAGCAGCTAAAACACAGGCTCATTGCCATTAAAAATATTCTTAGAAGTGTGTGTGTGTATTTCTAGTAGGATACTTGGGAGAGGGGAAACTTAAAATCTGGAGCCATCTTTTTGTCTACACGGTCCTGAGTTGGAGACATTGAAAACGCAACGACATCTTCCTGAGTTCAATGAAGCTGGTGCGGAAACCAAAATTATCTTTAGAAAGGGGGAGAAATCCATTTATATTCCTTCTGAGGCAAAGAGGGAAGTCTTTCTGGCAAAATCTTTAGGTTCCATTCAGGACCAGGACACTTAATCGTCAAGTTCAAAGCTTGTCTCATCATAGAGTTCAGGGCGTGCTGACTTCCTGTGCCGGGAATATTTCAGTTGTAGGAGATCACCCATCTCATCCAGAGCTTCCAAAACCTGCAAAGAGATTGCCTTCCATCAGTTATCTTTAAACCCCTAGGTGGATCTGTTCTCTAGAGCCTCACAGAGAGCCACAGTCTTCTTTTGCTAGCTTCTTTGATTTTAAAGAAAAGGAGAAAGATCGAAATCATTAAGGTGTGGTTTATAAGCCAGCCTTGGAGGAACATTAGATGCTAATGTTAGATGCTATTTCATATTCTTTAATAGTCTAACTCCACATTATGAATGTTTAAATTTATATTTGGGGTGTGAGGAGAGGAATAAAAGCATCTAACCCATGCTTACCCTTTAAGCCTTTACTTTAAAGTTTAATGACTCATATAACCTTGTGGAAGAAAAAGATAAGGTTGCAGATTACCCGTTGGTTATGATTTCAAGACACAGCAAATCAACCTGGCCAAAACCAAAATGGCAGCGTTGTGGGAGCTAATTAGCATCCTCCTCTCTCCTCCCACGCTTCACTCTTCCCTTACCCAGCTTTTAAATACTCATCTCTGTGTTCCATAGAATAATAGAAATTAAAACTACAAGGGACCAAGCACTAATCTGTTTCAATTGTCTTAATTCAGGCAGGTAAATGTATCCCCAATTTTACAGATGAAACAACTGTGATCCCGAATATACAATATGTAATTCTTATTTCTAGTGTATCACTAATCCTATGGCATTGGGCATGTGTTTTTAACTTTTTTGGGCCTGTTTTTCCTAGCCTGTCAAATGAGGAGGAAGATGATAGCAGAGTCTAATGTTTTGAAAAAGGTAAAGTGAGAGTTGTTCACATTAGAATCAAGACTAGTGGAGCTCATGGAATTTCCCCTTTGGGAAGTTTTTCAAATTGACATCAGTTAAGATATCCACCAGCATGTTAAGAGTAGTTTATTCCTGGGTGATAGGATTATGAGTGATTAAAGTGTTCTTTTTACTTCTCTGTATTTTCTAATTTTTTTACAACAAATCTAAGTACTAAGAAAAGGTAACAAAAGTTCTCCTTTAAATAACATCAATTTGGGATAGTATCTATTGCTCTTTGCTGAAGATGGGGGATGGAGTAGCTCAGTGGTTTTCAAAGTGGCATAACTGCACATTTGTGGGATGTGCATGATAATTCATGGAGGATGTGGGAGGAAAACAGAGAATTTCTATTCATTTTAATCTCAACCTTTTTAACTTCTCTTTTGATGTTTATTTTATAATGTACATGATATACTGGTAATGCATATATAATTTATAAATGGATTTATGTTGAAGCCCACTGATCAAAGACTACCCAGAACACACCTGTACTCAAAGAAAGTTAGCTTGTTGAAGCAGGGAAGAGAGCACTCTAGAAGAACCATGGAGCCTCTTAGTAACAGGAAGTTGGGAAGGGCAACTTATGGCATTTGGACTTGTGCCTGAGATGACTCTAAGGAAGCAGGCACCAGTACTAGGTTGGATGCTGTCAAGAAGTGGGAGAAATTCAGTAATTGGCTATATGTAGAATTCTCATCTGGAAGGCAAGAGGATTAAGGCAAGGCGAGAGCTGTCATTGGTAAAGGAGTAGCTATCACTCCTGTTAGTAAAGGGACATTTGGCCTCGTTTCTGTCTTGTTCCAAATATGAATGGACTTGTCTAATATTGTTTATTTTCTGTGAGCATTATTTATGTTCAGTTACTACTCAATGCCCTGGCTGTTCAAGGGGTCATTTTTCACTTTCTTTTATGTGTATATTAGGGAACCTGTCAAAAGTTTTTTATTGCTGTGGGTTCATGATCTCAAAAGTTTAGAGGCATCTGTCTAGGAGATGTCTCAGTGCTTCTTCCAAACTAGATACTCCATAGGAATTAAGAACTTGTGATGAGAATCACAAGGTCTGGTATCTGCAGAATTGGGTACTCATGAGTACCTCAGTGCTGTTGGACCACAAAAAATACAAATCCACCTATGCTGTCCATCCTCTCCTGTCATCTCTGGGGTCCTGCTCCCTACTCATGACCTCTTCTCTCCCACACCTGCAGCGCCCCTCTCTTTACTCTCTTCTTCCCTTGAAGTGTAAACATGTTCATCTTCCCTTATTTTCAAGGGCTTTTTCTAAACCTATTTTTCTTTCCTTCTTGGAAAGAAAACTTCTTGGAAGTCTTGCCTACTCTTTTACCACCAACTAATTCCATTTAAAAGAAATAATTTGTTAAAATTAATGTACTGAAAATTTATATTCATTTTAGAGAATCTGGACAATATAGAAGGGTATAAAAAACAATAACAGCAAGGTTCACCCATCATCTCAATACCTAGAGTTAGCTCAGTTGTTAATATGTCATTCAATAAATCTTTATTGTGTACCTACTATGTAGTATACACTAGTTTAAGTTCTAAGAATATAATGATGAAAGACATGTGTGTGTATAATTTGAGCTCAAAGTATGCTCTTTGCTTTTTTACTCTTTGTATTCTTATTTCTGCTCCCTGTATTCCCCTACAACTATCCTCTCTGTGGAATATCATGCTCCTACTAATTGCTAATCCAATGGTTTCTTCTCATCTCTCACCCCATTTGAACTTTCTGCAGTTTCTTGGGGACATTTTGATCTTCCCCCTCCTTGAAACTTTTTCCTTTTTACTGTGTTTAACACTATGCTAGCTATATCTTTTCCAAGAGCTCTGGCTCCATCTAAGTCTAGTTTCTCACTTGTGATTCCTATATAGACAACTGTGGGAGCATAGTGGTGGGAATGAGTTATTATGTATGAAGTTATTATATATGAGTTCATTCATTATATATTCATATAATTACATATTCATTTATTATATATTCATATATTATCATTAGTTGCTTATTGATTAGTATCTCCTCTTAAACTTTTTGCCCCAGGGTTTTGCACATAGTAGACACACAATAATGTCTGTGAAACTGCATTGACATTATGAGATAGTTCCATCAACCCCAAACTGATTGAGATGGCTTAGTTCTCTGATATTACTCATCCACATAAAGAATGAAATCAAAGGACAATGAAATGTGGTTTTTAAATCATTTACACCTCATTTAGGTCTGGCTGATACGATAGATCTGTCTTTGTTATTGGTTTTCCAACATGTTGCTTAGTTGGGTCATATTTTATTAAGATGGATTTGATGGCTATGAAAAATATCAGGAAACAGGCAGTTAATGCTGAAATAGCATATTTGATTAGCTTTTGCATTTTAGAGCAAGTAAATAGCACAAGTGGCTACTCAGTTAGACTTTTCTATAAAATCAGAACACTGACTTGACTCAAGTCTTCACTAAACTGATTTTCTTTTCTATCTGCTGGGTTGATCACATTCTTGGCATATCCTTGTTTCTTAGCAGTGAGTTTTACTGGTGTTATTTTCATAAACCACCCAAGAGAAACCGAGGGAAGTCCAAGCTAGTTCAATTAAAGAACATGCTCAGAATCCAAGGTACCAGTACTGGAGATTCTGTTGGCCAGTGGCGTACTCACCGCATCTAACTGCTCCCGGGTATGTGCTGCTGAAATACAAAACCGAGCCCGAGCCTCTGCAAGGGGAGTAGCTGGAAATCCAACGACCACCACCCCAATTTTTCTCTTTAATAGATGCCTTGCAAAAGCCCTGAGGGAAAGGTAAAAAAGGAGGTTAACTGAGAGATGACAAAATTATGCTGCAAAAAAAGGAATACAGCTAATTGACTTTTTCTTTTTTTTATAACAATAAATGCAAGATGATCGAAGTTATTAAACTTCTGTCAAATACAACGATAAGGAAGTAGGGCAGTCAATGACGTGATGGCACCCATGAGTGAGTGTGAATGTTACGGGGCCTGGCACACTCATTAGACAATTGCAAGTACTGAGTCTTTGACATGGAGCAGAAAACGCTGATGTATGTGCTCTTGGTTTAACAAGTCTGCATTGACGGAAACTCCTTCGTCTGCACGGTTCCCAGGAATAAAAACCAAACAGCTAACACAATTATGTAAAAAAAGAATATATATTAAATGCAAACCTACATGTTTAAAAAACTTAATAACAATAATATATTGTGGAAATTTCAAGAAGCCTATACTTAGTGACTATAATTTGAGGACCAGGATCAGAGGATCTGCAGGATCCAACTCCAAGCCATATTCTCACTCCAGGGCCAAAGATTTTACTTCCCATCAAACCAGAGATAGGAATAGCAAGGGTCTCTTTAATTTTGGGGGTGAATGAACACATCCAATATGTTCAGGGATGATAAACCCATTGGCTGTGTTAAAGGGGGAATGGGGCAGGAGAGAGAGAGGGAAAGAAATGTGCGCACACCCAGAGGCTGGCTGGTAGATGCAGCCTGTAGGATATAAGTCACACAACTACAAAGCTCTTTGATGCAGGGTAACACTTTTTTTTTTGTTAGGGAGATCAGCCCTGAGCTAACATCCTTGCTAATCCTCCTCTTTTTGCTGAGGAAGACCAGTTCTGAGCTAAAATCTATTGCCAATCCTCCTCCTTTTTTTCTTTCCCAAAGCCCCAGTAGATAGTTGTATGTCATAGTTGCACATCTTTCTAGTTGCTGTACGTGGGACGCGGCCTCAGCATGGCCAGAGAAGCACTGCATCAGTGTGTGCCCGGGATCTGAACCCAGGCTGCCAGTAGCGGAGCAAGCGCACTCAACCTCCAAGCCACCAGGCTGACCCAGGGTAACATCTTTTAAAGCTATAATTCCTTCCCCTTAACCACTTCTAGCCTCTTTCTTTTCCAGTAATGTAATCTCAGTAATGATTCTAGAATATCTAGCTCTCAAAGTCTGTAAATTTCTTGTGCCAAGAGCCCACGTCAGAAAAAAAGGCGTGTGCCCCCAAGTGAATCTTTTCCCCCTTTGAGGTCTGTTGCTCTCTGAAGGAAACGTTAATTACTGAGTGACTCTGCCCATAAGTGAGGTAAATGCCTCAGATCTGTTCTTAGCATTAAGAGGTTGCTGGTGTATTATTTTAGGCTGAAAGTTGACAGCACCACAGAAATCTTCCAGTCATAACTCAGGGAGAGTTCTCGAACCAGACACGGAGAGTAAGCCTGCTTGTTCATTCCTTCCTCTCACTGTTTAGCTGTCTGTCTTGTGGTTGCTTCATGCAGAACGCAGGTTATCAAACGAAGTGATGGAAATTGCAAGACCTTTTGAACACACAGCCTCTCTGGCCTCTGGCTTAGGCCAGGCAAGATTCTCCCTTTGATTTGGACTGTGAAGGTTACAAGGAGATGAAGCTTTCTAACTGAGAAAGCTTGAAAACAGAGGCTGTTCTTTCTCTTTCTTGATCACCCTATGGAAGGCTGCCCACGGAACTACACAGGATGAGAGCTCATAATTGTCTGAGAAACAAGTCAAGTGCTTTTATTCCAAGAGTACAAACCACCTGACCCATGATCTCAGGCCAGTTTTCAGGACTCCCAAAAGACCGTTTTCACTGTCCGCACGTTTCTCTTTGTACCAGAGGAAGTGAGTTTTGCCAAAGAATGTAGAGCAAAATATATGACTGTTGATTCATTAGGCTAATCTGAGGCCTCCCTGGAGCACTTTTGAGTTTAAAATTTACACTCCTAAACTTAGCTTCCTTAAGTTAATGTATATGATTGCCCTGAACACTTTAGATAATGAGCCTCTTGGTTGCATTCCTCAAAGCAAATTAGAGCTTGCAGAGGATGAAAGAAACTAAACTATGTGAATAATAATAATAATAATAATAATAATAATAAAAACCATAAGCATTGTGTTGCATGCAGCATCACTGCATCTTGTGTCCCACCATCTTTCCAAGCATGTGATGGGGACCTTGGAAGGAAAATGTAAAGCCTGTACCAAATAGTAAATACAATACATTCTTGATTATTTAAGTGCGTGTTTTATGAGTAAAATCACATTATTCTGAACTCCATAGAAGCTTCCAGTGATAGAGTTGCAACAGAACTTTGTTCAAAATGATAACTTGATGGAGATTAACTTTTCATTCTACAGTAGGTGGAAATGTGGAGAAACCACAGTTCTTCAATAAAATCAAAGGTTTTTAAATGAGCAAATGAAAGAAGTGCTCATACAGTGGCTTACACAATTAACTCTCTGTTTGCAAAGCTTCTCTACATATAAACTTTTCATTGAGGGGCCGGCCCCGTGGCGTAGCGGTTAAGTGCGCGCGCTCCCGCTATTGGCGGCCTGGGTTCGGATCCCAGGCGCACGCCGACGCACCGCTTGTCCGGCCATGCTGAGGCTGCATCCCACATACAGCAGCTAGAAGGATGTGCAACTACAACATACAACTATCTACTGGGGCTTTGGGGAGAAAAAGGAAAAAAAAGGAGGAGGATTGGCAATAGATGTTAGCTCAGGGCCGGTCTTCCTCAGCAAAAAGAGGAGGATTGTCATGGATGTTAGCTCAGGGCTGATCTTCCTCACAGGAAAAAAAAAAAGTGTAAACTTTCCATTGAAGAAATACCAGAGAAGGAAACAAGGCCAGACAGCAGGCAAGATCTTGCCAGCAACTCTGGCCAACAATTGATGATACTACCTTTGGTAACTAACCTGTTCTAAGTGTCCTTAGACAAAGCAAACAATTAGAGGTTTTTTTCCATTGCAGTGATTGATGCCTTTTGATGACATTAAAGAGTGTTAAACTTATACTCTGCATTGCTTTAACAAGATGTGCATTTTTCCATGTGGACCAAAGCTTGAGAGGCTGTGCTGTGTATTGAAAAGAGATCTTGTTTAGGAGACAAACGGAACTGGTTTTGAATTCTACAACCTGACTGACCCTTAGAAAGTAGTTTGAGCTTTGTGAGTTTCAGTGTCCTCATTTGTAAACTAGGGCTAAGCATTCCATCCTCAGTGGGTGATCACTGGGTTTAGGAACCTTACTTAGCATATAATCAGCATTCAGCAATGTTAGTTCCTCCTTAAAAACAATCTTAAATTGGAAGGCACTAGTCAGTTTGACATATCATTCAGTGTTCAACATAGCATAATCGATGCTGAGTATAGCAGGATCTTTACCTACTATTTTCCTGGAAGTTCAATTTTCATTAATTTAACCAAAGACTGTAATAATTATTTGGAGAGCCATGCGACCATAGTGACTGAATCTTGCACTTAGTTGAAACTAACTATAATAATCATTGCAGCAGTAGAAGTGATAATGGCTACACTGATGGAGCACTTCCAGTACACGAAGCACTGCATTAAATTCTTTATATACATTGTTAATACTATTAATAAGAACAGCTAACACTGAGTAGCTCTTATATAAGAGGCAACGTGCCAAATGCTGATAGACTTCATCTTGTTTAATCTTCACAATGATCTTACTATATCTCATTTTTAAAATGAGTAAACTAGGGCTTCAGAAGTTTAGGTAACTTTCCCAAGATCCCCCAGCTAGGAAGAGGCAGAGTCAAAATTCTTTTTCATTTCAAACATCTCACTACAGCATAGACATACATTTTACATGAAGGTCCCTCTCAGTTCTATTTTCATTTTTTGTGCAAGCTGTTGTCCAGGCAGGACTCCTGGCATATAAAGGAGCAGGGGGTCTCCCTCTCTCATTCTGTTATTGTACAGTTAAATTCTTGAATTTAAATGCATTTGTTTTTACTCTTCATGGATTCTTCTCATTGGGTTGATTCATTGTCCCAATCTGTTGAGATTCTAATTCCAGCTTCCATCATCAAAGTTGGAACTATCCAGCACACTCTCTACTGCCACCCCCCAGCACTGGGCACTTTATATTCTCAAAAATAAAGCAAGTTGATTTTTGGTGTCTGTATCTGAGCTAACGATAAAATATTAGATAGACATAAGCTAAGCGTGGAATCTTTCTTCCAGAACACACCATTTCCTCAACCACTCTGAATACACGTGGTTTTCTTTTGTGCCTTCCAAAATAAGCTGGTAAAGGGTTTTGGGTTACCCGCTACTTTGAACTGCTATTATCATCCCTCTCCACCGTTAGCACAGAGTAGGATCCCGTGTGACGCTTCTGTAGCACACTGTCTTCTTGGCCACTCCAGGCACTGATATCCTGAACCAGATCCACGAACAAAGTGCCAAGTGGTGGTAATGCTGTGGCGCACTAACCAACTCGTGTGTGTTACCTGCTGGTTATTTTGCTGTGGTGAAATGACACAAGAACTTACTCTGAAGAATCAATATTTTGGGAACTTATAACTCAGTTCGGCCCAACAGGAGTTCTCAACTAACAGCCCCAGAACCTCTTTTCTATACTTCCAATACTCTGCCAATCTATTCAGACTGTTAGAGAGTCAAACAGAAAGTTCAAACAATGGCGTTACGTTAAAGGAGTGTCAGGACCTCTAGAATCTCAGACATATATGTTGACTATCACTTTCCACAGTGTGTGTGGTCAAATACACAAATAAACATTTTACATTTAGAAAGGATTTTAATTAACTTCTTTTTTTTGTTTTTGCTGAGGAAGGTTCGCCCTGAGCTAACATCCATGCCAATCTTCCTCTATTTTTTAGTATGTGGGCTGCCAGCACAGCATAGCTGCTAACAGAGTAGTATAGGTCCATGCCCTGGAACTGAACCCGGGCTGTTGAAGCGGAGTGCACTGAACTTAACCACTAGGCCACTGGGGCTGCTCCTTAATTGACTTCTTTTTAATCACAGAGGTAATTAGTCTCTAGCAGGCTGGAGAATGGCTCATGTATAAAATTGTCTATACCACACTGAGAAAAAATCATTTTTTTCTCTTTATGCTGTTGTTATTAATGCTCAATTTCAGAGTTGCAATCAATGGAAAACAACTCCAATTAGGTTTACAGGAGAGGCATTAAAATTTGGTGTAAAGAGCATGAGCTTTGGAGTGAGCCTAGGTTTGGGTTTGCTTCTTGGTTTTACTACTGCTTGACTTGTGTGACTTTGGGCAAGATATTTAACTGCTCTCAGCTTCAGTTTCTTCACACTTAAAATGAGGCTGCCTTCCTCCCAGAGTGGCCTTGAGAGTTCAATGAGAGAGAGCACAAAGCCTGGTAATGTTGTTCTTAAATGTTGAGAGAGGTGGTCTGCAGAAGCTCTCCCTGAGAAAGATCTTGGGGCAGGAGGAGGTGCAGGACCATCCTGAATTTACAGTTGAGGCCTAGGGAGGTAAATGACTCCCCCAAATTCACAGAGCTTAAAAATGGAAGGCTTAGCATCTGGTTCCCTTCCTATAAGACCTGCGAAAAGGCCTTGCTGATGGGCTGGAAGGTGGCTTCTGAGAAGCTGTACAAGTGAATTCTGACCTCGGCACCCCGTTCAAAGTGCATTATCAATGCCTATATTGAAATAGCCTCATAGTGTCAAATGAACCATCTCGTCAGGCCACCTTGAGGCTTAGGCGTTATTCTGAGAGTCCGTTGGATACTCACGCTACTTTAGCAGGCATGTAAAGGAGCAGGGGAATAACAGGAGAGTCCTCATTGCCATAGATAATGAATCCCATTTCATTCAGTCTGTGTCTGAAGTATCTTGTGTTTTTTGCAAGTTGCCGTACTCTCTGCAACCCTGGAAGGAGACAGGCATGAAATCTATCAATTCCCACCAGGAAGAGAGAAACAAAGATAGGGTTGACTTGGCAAGTGTTCCTAAGTCTTTCTGCAGGCCTGCACCATTAGCTGGGAGGGGCTCAAAGTAGGGCAGGAAAATATCTCCTGGTGAGCAGGTGTGGGCACTGATGCCCGGGAACTGCCCTGAGCCTGGAAGGTAGGATCCAGGGTGGGTGGTGCTGCTGGGTGCTGCTAGCAATGAAAAGCAGGCTAGGCTGCAGGGTGGTGGAGAGGGTGTCTAGCAAGAAGGAAGGAGATGAACTAGCATTTACTAGGGACTTATTATGTATAAACTCTGTGCTAAATGCTTTAAAAATGTTAACTCACGAGAAAGGAGTGTGACAAGGAGGGACAACCACACACACATACCCCCCACACCATACCAGTTGTTGGTAGAGGATTTTTAGCCAAGCTGAGCTGGCCTATTAAGTTGCCTTGCATCTAAATCTCTAATCAAAGAATGCTTCACCCAACCTGAATTTGAAGGAGTAGCACATCCCTGGACAAAGATAGGTCCAGCTGAGACCAGGACTGTTTTGTGAGGCATTTGGTGGTGGTGGAGTAATAGAGGGAAGGGAAGAGGACGGCCTCTGCTTTCCCCAAGCAGGAAAAATGACAGTGTTGGACCCAACCTGAAGGTCAAGCAGGTACATGTGGCCATTTCCAGGTTATTGGTGCTTCAGCTCAAAAACTTATCCCCTGTCCTCACTGTGTGTTCCAGTGGGGAGGTCACACACGTGAGACGACAAAGGGAATGAAAGAGTGGAAAGAGTTCTGAAGACACCAGTCTACTCCAGTCCTGCCTCTACTCAGGTAAGTGAATAAACCAGCCCAAACTAGAGAGTGTTTGCTCAATAAGGAAGGTTGAATAGGATTGCATGAAGTCCCCTTGAAATCAGTCCAATGTTTGCATTTGATGCAAGGTTGCTGTTCAGCAGGAATGTGCTGCTACAGCCAACCTCCATTCCTATTGGTTAGGCGTCCATTCAAACTGATCGCAGCTCTTGCTTTACCAGTTATTCAATATTTTGAACATCACTCCTGGGTGTCTGTAACTCTCCAGATGGAAAATGGGTAAAAACTTCAGTAAACGTGTCCATCAGGGTCCCCTCATTCCTTCTTGGGGAAATAACCCCAGATTGTGCCTTGACAAAGAGTTGAGCAGTGGACATCTCTTGCTCAGCATCCTTCCTCCAGGGGACCATGATGTTCAGGTAGAGTTGGTCCCACCTTTCCTCTTTATTACAAGGGTAGCATGTGACCAAGGCCTGGCCAATTGGAATACTCCATCCCCCTAATTATTGGTTCAATGATGGAACACAACCTGGGTCTATCAGAGGCTTTCAGATTCAGATCTACTGAAGAAGAAGTGTAAGAATGAGATCATCCTCAAGCTACATCTTTGTCACTGTGTGGAGAAAACCTGCTTGAGAATGATGTTGACTCAGAAGAAAGCCAAAGCACAAAACAGCAAGAGTCTGGAGGACATCATTGGAACTCTTGGGTCTAGCCATGCCTAAGTGAGCCCATCCTGTGAACTGTCCCTGTTGTGTGAACCAATACATTTCTTTTTCTTACTTAAGCTACTTTGAGCTGAATTTCTACAACCTATAACCAAATGTGTCTCGAGTAGAACAGGTGGCCACTAATTGGATGGGGTTACCTCTAAAGGACAATAATAATATCAACAACAATAATTATTGTAGCTCACAAATACGTAAAGTCACCACTGTTATAAGCACTTGACATTTAATAATTTATTTAGTCCTCACAACTGTATTGAGGTAGAAGCTATAATCCTCCGTTATCCATGAGGAGGAGTCAAGTAACTTACTCAAGTTCACATAGTTGGTAGGTAGCAGAGCCAGAATTTGAACCTAGGTATTTAGGTTCTAGAATCTGTGCTGTTACCTCCTACATTATGGTGCTCTGCCCAATAGCAGAAACGAATGGTGTCTGCTCAGATAATGGATGGTGGCCATCTCTTCTCTTTAAGCTTAATAAAATTTATCTCTGCCAGCTGTTAGGATCATTGTTATACCAAATTTTTCTAGTAGAGGCATTGAGAGGTTGAGGGCCGAGCAAGCTTTTGACAGTCTCATGTTATGAGGGATGGGGCAGGGCATCAAGGTCTAGAGTCTGAGGCCTGCCACAAGGGAGGACTGGTAAACTCCCTTCAATTTGAGTGGGGAGCCTGAAGGGTTACCCCCAAGAAGGAAGGGTGAACCAGAAGTAGACAGGTCCCCAAAAGGCACTTTCTTTATTCAATCATCTGACATTTTTCATGAGGCTCAATCACTCTCAAAATACTTTAGATCGTCTTTCAAAAGTTTTTCTTTGTTCATCAGGCCCAAATCTACTTGACTTCAGTGACATCTTAAACATGTTCATAATATATGCCAAGGAATGGAGATTTAGTAGAGTGGAACACCAACCAAGGAGGAGGATGTTGAATGCTCCAATTGTCCTATTTGTTTTCTGTTACTACCCTTCACTCAATCCCAGTTCTCAAGGAAGATCCCTCCCCGACTCTCAGCAAGCAGTTTGTGATGGAGAAAGCATCTGGCTTATTGTACTCCCTCAGGAAAGCTGACCTCTCAACTCTACCATGCTGGGTACAGCTAGTGGATGCAGGACATCCTTGACCTATGGGCAGTCCATTTGGGTGTTGGCCAGGGAGCCATGAATTGGTCTATTGGAACTTTGCCAAAGAGATAAATATGAATTAAACCAATAAGATCCTCTTGCTGATACAGTGTGAATGTGAAAAATTTAGAGAGAACCAACAATTGATAGTAAGACTAGAAATTGGGGGACATTGAGAGAAAAGCTTATTATCAGCATCTACGAGACAGAGGAAGCCATTGGTCAGTAGAAGCTATGGTAACCCACGAAGAAGAGAAGTGGGCAGTGCAAGGTTAGTCAGTAGCAACAGGAATAGAAGAAACAGAAACAGGGATGAGCTTGTAGTCTAGTGAGGGAGACAGACATTAATCAAATAATCACAGAAATGGATATAAAATTGCAACTCTGATGAGTGCTGTAAAGAATGCTATGTGGTGTTACGAGAGCCCACATTAGAGAGATTAGACCAAGTCTGAGAAAGTCAAAAAATGATAAGTGAGCTGAGATCTGAAGGACAGACAAATGTTAACCAGGCAAAGAACCAGAAGAGAGCATTCCAGGCACAGGAAACAGGTGCAATGGTCCTGTGGTTTGTAGAAGAACAGAGTAGTTGAGTAACAAGTAAGATGTGGTTGAGTGTGGGGCAAGATGAGACTAGAACAATGGGTAGATTGTCTAAAAAAAGGGATGACAAGAATTGAAGAATTTAACATTTAATGGTTGGGAAGAGGAGGATGAACTTAAAAGGGAGACAAACAGGAGCAATCAGGGAGGGAGAGGATAAATCAGGAGATGAAAGTGTGTTCATTGGATTTATCAACATGGCAGTCATTGGTAACCTTTACTTTGGGGTCCTTGGTTGGGACTTTGGTTTTGAAAAAACAGGTAGCTGCAAGTATAGTTTAATTCGTATATGCTTTTATTTTCCCACCCACCTCCCTCAAAAGAAAAAGATAAGCCCTTTCCCCCAAAATTCCAGATTTGCAACACGAATACAACAAGTAAGGGATCTAGAAAGGTGCAGGACCATTTGTATACATTTTGTTGCATAGACACAGCCTCCCTGGTGCTTAGAAAAACAACTGTTTTGTAACATGCAAAAGAGTCCCCTGGAAACTTGTATGTGTTCCAAGAGTAACCTATTTGAAGGATAAAACTAGAAATTAAGAGAATATTTGTCTTTACTTTCAAAAAAAATTTCATCCGTATATCGAAACTGTGTGTTTAGGGAGATGAGAACATAACGAGTAGGGGGATACTGTGGTTAAGAGAAGGAAAAGAAAAGAAGGGCTGGAGTAAGACTTGTTTTAAAGAAGGTGATTCAAATGAAGGCACGGATATACATCCCAGCCACCAAAATGTATCCCATATGGCCTGTCGCCTTGTGTGTTCAGCTCTTTTGTTGATTGTTAGTTGCACAATGAATAGATGACTTCATCAGGTGAGGTCTGATGATTCCTAAATGATCCCCCTCAAAGACTAGAAGGATTTCCTGGTCTGGAAGTGCATGAATGACTTAAATTGCTTTTCCCAATGGCATTATCTTTGCACTTGCCCATAATGACTCATCTATTATTGGGCTGCCCAGCTACTTAATCAGCCCCGTCTGTTCCCTCTGCCTTGATTAACCCAAGTAACTGGATCACCAGCTAATGTCATCACATTACTGCTTGTAGATCCTTTGGAGAGTTGACCAAACAGATCAGAATATCGATTCCAGGAGTAACTGATTCTTAAGAACCGAATGTTTTATCCTTGCCCTGTCTTTCCTATCTTTGAACTGTTAAGCACAGCATGGCTGACAAGCCATTATGATACATTTCATGGTCACCATGTTTTCTCATATAGGTCTCTATAAATGCCTTTGAGGTCTTTTGAGTTGGCCAAGATACAGCTCCTTTCAATTACTCTTTAAAATTGGAAACATTCTCTTATTCTTGGAGGGCCTGGGGGCAGAGAAGAATTTGTACATATAAAATGCTACTCATCTAAACAGGATGTGGTGATTTTATTAATTATGTTGTGCTTTGACATCCTTGCTGGAAGAGTGCTTTGTAAAAGTAGAAGGAATTTTTAGCACTTGTCGTTTCATACAGAGATGGCCATGCCAGGATGGCATGGAGACCGGGCATTGTAGCCACATTCCCTTTGTAAAACTCAAAGTCCTAATTAAATATTTCTGATCCTTCTTCTACATATTATATAGAAGACAGGGAAGGTTCGTGCTCAGATAAATAAGTGAATGAGCTGATCTTTTATGTAGGGTTCTGGAGACTTCATACAAGTGTTTATTTTGCTATATTCTGGATTCTATGGGAAACGAATAGGCTTTGG